GGATGGATGGATGGATGGATGGATGGATGGATGGATGGATGGATGGATGGATGGATGGATGGATGGATGGATGGATGGATTTTAGTAGTAGAGTGTATGTGATTTGTTGTAATGTGATTATTGTCTTGAATTTTATAGCACTTTGAAATATATCTTATTTAACCTTGCTATAAAATTTGAATGGATTGGACTATTTTTTTAAGTGTATGATTTGTTTCTGAGCATGTCTTATGAGTAGAAAGTAATGAAAACCACAGAGCGCATGACTGTTTACATTGATTGAACTGTAATAGTATGATGTTGAATCCTCTATGTAACCAAAATACTGATGAATGTACATTTTCTCTGAAAGACTAGAGCTGAAATGTTACCTTTGGATGGACGGGCTCTACTAAGTAGCTGCTTTATTTACCATCATGTCTTTCTAAAAGTTCTCTAGTGTAGCCAGCGGATGCGGCAACTTCTGTTCTGTTCTATCTGCTCGTTGCACCCGGTATTTGAATTCCATTTAGGCTTAAAAACAACATTAAAACACTATGAGGGGGAGGCTTGTTGAAACTGTTTTGTCTTTTTTGTATAGGCATAAAATGTAACTTTATACCTTTAGGAATTCAGTATTACTGATATTTTTTGGAGGAGAACTACTAAAATAGGAGCTCAACAGCTCATCTTGTATTTTCCATGGCAATCAGGTGAGCAGGGGGAAGTGTGACCTGATTGGAGTAGAAAGACCTGAGAGTGTTGGATGGTAGATGGGCGTGGAGAAGTTTGAACATGTACGGCAGGGCAGGGTGAATTGGGTTAAAGGTAGAGATTTTGACATGAATCATTGCATAATGAAACAAAGAGAGGTACTGATATGAGCTTTTGAAAAACAAAAACATATACATTCACAAGGTTCCATGCATCTGTTTCATATAACATTCATTTTGATTAAGGTGTGTTTTCCAAGACTTCCCTACTGAAAGAGCTGCCTTTGTCTAACTGAACATAAAACTGAGAATAACTTGCATGGTCTCCCTTTATACTATACACCCAGTGGCCAGCTGGCTGCTCAGCCCACCTGTAATTGCAGCATTAAACCCTTTCCCCACAGATTTACCTTTTTTACAATTCTGTAAACAATGAGTTCACTTCAGTATGCTATAAAACACCCTGAAGTTGTAAGAAAGCAATCTAATCCTGCCTTTTGTCAGTGTTTTCTGTGTTTATGAAAGGAACAAAAGAGCCTAGAAAAAGGGAGGATGTGGGGTTGGATAAAAAGTTGGGTACCATCTGCACAGCGCTAGAATTTGATCATGATATTACCAAATACGACTTATGATTGCAGAGGAGAAAACTTTTAAGGACCCCCATCCAGACCAGATCTACTTGTTGCATTATGTGATTAAAGGAAGTGGTAGGCTGTAAGCCATATGGCATGAATCTCCAGTTTTGTCAAATAAATCATACACATACAGTAAAACCTTATTTTTGAACTTTTCATTTTAATTTCAATTCAATTCAGTTTATTTATATAGCGCCAATTCTCAACACATGTCATCTCAAGGCACTTTACAGTTTAAAGTTTTCTATCTAAGGAAAACCAGTAGATTGCATTGAATCGTTGTCTCAAATGCAATCCCTCACACTAAGCATGCTTGTAGCGACAATGGAGAGGAAAAACTCCCTTTTAACAGGAAGAAACCTCCAGCAGAACCAGGCTCAATGTGAGTGGCCATCTGCTGAGGTCAAATGGGGTTAAAATAGGCTAGTGTTTTATTCAAACTGAAGGTGATTTATTCAGTAGACTTTTATGACATTTAAGATACTCTGGATATTTACTTGGAAATTTACATTTCTTCCTTTTAGTGATTTATCACACTGTTTAGGTAAAACTCGATTTCCTTATGTTTGATTTATTTTTCTGAATTTTGGATCCTCATTATCTATTTGCCATATTTTTGAAAAAGGATACTAAACTTAAATGTTCGAAATATTCAAACTTAAATTTTAATTATATCAAAACTTCTTAAGTGGATGAAATAGAATTTTAAATAAAAATTAAAAATAAAAACATTTCGTTTACTGTGAGAAAAAAACCAAAAACAATAAAAATATCAATTGATCCGTGATTTACTGGACTTTTAAGTCCTTCGGGGAAAAATGATGACATCAAGGTTTTTTCCCAGGACAACACACGATTGCTTATAAGGCTCCTGTTCTCCCGGAATAGTTTCACTTCTGGAGTAAAACCCATGTGCAAGATGGGGAGAGAAGGGGGAGGAAGGGAAGTAGACAAGCCTTGGATTAGTCTGCAGAGAGCGCAGGAGAACAGTCCAGCACGCCTTCCAGCTCAGACGCGCAGCGCAATGGCCAAATGGCTGACGGGATGTTGCACTGCGTTCATTCTGATTTGCGCCGTGGCTTTTGTGATCCTGTGCATCGTCACCCTTCACGATGCTGGCTGCTCCAGCTTCAAACATGCGGCTGTAGCTGCAGACTCGCAACTTTGTTCCGAGATTGGCAAGTGAGTAACTTTTCCCCTAAAGTGGTGCGCTTTCTCTAAAAACTTTGATTGATATGAACTTTATGTTAATCATTCCATCAATAGCCTATATATATTTTTTCCTGTTTTTAATCAAGTGTTTTCAAATTTCTTTCGACATTAAACGCTTGTTTTTATGAATTGGATAAGTGGATAAGCAGGTTAAGAGATTTGATCAGCTCCACTTGAATAGAGATTATAGCAGCAAATCTGTAGACAGTGAAGCCCTCACTGTTCCTGAAACATTTCCTTAAACACTGTCTGATGCTGCCCTTTGTGTTGATGAGTGAAAGTCTTGGCTCTGCTTCTTCCATTAGTCTTTTTGATGTTTTTTTTTTTGCGCAACTTTGAGTCAATCAATCTGTCATCACTAAAAAAAAAAAAAAGTGGCACATAGCCTTTTTAACTGGAATGTTGTCCTTCCGACTATTGTTGACTTTAGTTCCTTTTTTTTTCTCCTCAGCCTTTGCTGAAGGGTCATTTAGTTCAAAACAGACACAATCACATCAAAGTTTACTGACACAATGATTGATGCATTTCCGGACAAAGGCTTAATAAGGATAAACCTGTTGAGAATAAAAAAAAAAGTATTTTATTTTCATTAAAAACAAAATGTGTGCATTTTGTTTTCTGTTGGTTATTCAAGCATTTTCAAAATATAAACTCATTGAAAGTTTTTGAGGTGGCAAGGATGAAACATTCCCAGCAGTGCATCTTTGTTGCTTAGCAGGTAAAAAACAGTCTCAGTGCCAGCATCGCACTAAAAGGGTCCTATTTGCTTTGTTTTCCCCTTTCATTTCTGTCTAAAGTATCCAAAAAAAGACAGTTTAGATGTTATAAGCACCTTTATTCACCCAGGCATGCAGTTTCAGTTCTCAGCATGACAATAAATAGGTTGTTGCTAAATTTGGCTGCAAGTAATTGACTTCTAAAATTAGAAAATGGGCCAATTGTTGAATAGAGGGGAACAACAGCAGCCGCAGGACTCAAACCTCTGTTTTATATTTTGCCTTGGGTTGTGCAAATGTTTGCATAGTATTCAGAAACTGGTTTCCCGTAAATCCACTGAATATCCTTTTACAGGAAAATCCTTCAGAAGGGCGGCTCAGCAGTAGATGGCGCCATTGCAGCTCTCCTGTGCACGTCTGTGGTCAATCCTCAGAGCATGGGAATTGGAGGAGGCTCTATAGTGATTGTGAGAAATAAAACAGGTGGGTTGTTGTTATCTTTTGCTAGTGTTTTTTGTTTTGTTTTGCACATTTCTTATTTTATTTTTTTACTGATCAATGTAAAACTTCACTGTACAATAACCTTTACTTCTTCCCTCATCATGTGAATAGTTGGAAACAATCATTCATTTCAGTTTATTTATATAGTGCCAAGTCACAACACATGTCATCTCAAGACACTTTACAGTTCATCCAGATCATACAGTCAAATTGATTCAAAGTTTTCTATCTAAGGTAAACCAGCTGATTGCATTGACTCAAATGCAATCCCTCACACTAAGCATGCTTGTAGCGACAGTGGAGAGGAAAAACTGAATTTTAACAGAAAGAAACCTCCAGCAGAACCAGGCTTAGTTTGAGCGGTCATCTGCCGAGGCCGACTGGGGTTCAAGGAGACAGAAGCAGAGATACAAAAAGCAGCTGTAAAAGGCGGCCCCTTCCAGGAAACACCCAGCCAGGCAGACGAGCTCCGAGCCAACTGGATGTGCTCTCTTCAGAGGATGAAGAGAGCACATCCAGCCAGTCACAGTCAGAGAAACAGGACTACACTGGAAAACAGGCCGATCTCCAGCGTCTATAAACAAGGGTGTTGATGGAAGCAGCATCAGTGGCAAAGTTTGTTTTGTATGTTACAACAACTTTTTTAATATGACCCTTTGTGGTTGGCTTGTCTTTGTATACCTTCACCAGCATACACGAATAAAGCCTGTGTTTGTCTGTGAGTGTGTGTGTGGGGTGAGGGGTCTGAAAAAAGAAAAGTTTTAGTTATTTTGTTTTCTCTTTTTCTTTCAGGTAATGTTAAGGTCTACAACTTCAGGGAGTCGGTCCCTCACTCATTCAAAGATAATCTGCTAAATGACTGTCCTACTACATTTGGATTGTCCACAGGTAAGCAGCATCTAGTCAATGAATCAGATGTCCTTTACTTGTCTACCTTTTCATTTACTATATAGTTCAATAGAAAATTGCAGACTAATATGATATGACGTCACATACCGTCTCTTTCCTCTGTTTTCCAGTCTTGTAGGCCAATGTTAATAGCTGCCATTCAGAGCTTTGCAATTCCCTGCCCATAAAATGCCGCTGCCTGATCAGTGTAGTGTAGTAGCAAAACGGTGGAGTACGCATTGTCACGGCCCTTTTCCTCTAACCTGCAGGGGCGATTCCTCCTGTAGGCAGAGGCGGGTCTTACTAATTGGAGCCACTTGGGCTCTATATAAGTTTAGCTCCACTAACACTCTCTCTCTCTCTGCTCCTCCAGGTACTCCCTTTGTTGTTTGGTTCAGTTTGGTTTTGGTTAACACTCAGACACATTCTCACATTCATGTTCACCCACTCATACACTGCACACACTAAACATTCTTACATACTCACATCTCACACATGTGAGTATGTGGCTTGTCACACATCTTATTTTGCTCTAGAGACAGTGATCAACAGCCCACCTAGTGGTGAAAGTTTGCTCATGGTTGGTTTAAACGTATTACTGGCTGTTCTGCTTTATTGATCAAGTGTATGATGAAACAATGACTAAAAATTTTTTTTTTTAAGATTACTTAAGTTGAAAGGACCCTGCGATCGTTGAATTGTTTCTGTAAATAAAATTAATTCCATCACATTTTGTCGAAATTTCAATTTTGAAACCAACTCCAGTTTGGACATTTATATCAGTAATTTAATACATTTAAGTTGATTATTGGCTATGATCCTGATGCTTCCTGGGCTTTACTTGCACATCCTCTCCTGACTCATTTAAATGGTAAAAACCGGACCACAACTTGGCTTCAAGTAGAATAATTATTTCTACCACATATCAGAATTCAGTTCAATTCAGTGTATTTATATAGTAGCAATAAACACAACACAATTTAGACACTTTAAAAAATTATACCAGTCCTACAAAGTTGAAAGGTTTTTTATCTAAGAATGCATGAAGTTAGAGGAATGATTTTTTTAAGTGACTGATTTTATAAATCAGTCCTCATTGATAAGTATGAGGCGACAGTGGACAGCTGCTTGAATTGTGTCGTTGACTAAGGAAATTGCTGTTATATTAACAGTTTAAAAAGGAACTTCCCTTTAAAAGGAAGATTGTGAATGGTAATCTGCTACTGGGTGTTGGAGGACAAATAGCTTGCACAAAAGAAGACACAAACAATGATCCAGGGTGAAGATATTAAAACAGGCTGAGAAGAGGAGCTGAAAAAGTTTTTGCTACACTTGACGTTCATGTCTTTTACAGTAAACCAACAGGTCATTTCAACTAATTCTGAAATAAAAAAAAAAGTGGGTAATTATTTAGCCAAGATTATGCAAGAAGCTGTTTAAGGGCTAAAAAATACATGTAATGTAGACACAGTTTACCAGGGGAATTGTAGGGAAAATTTAAGCAGGTGTGTGGATAATTGAGCCTATATTTGTTAACCATTTTTATTCCACGTGGAGAGAAAAACCAACATAAATTCTAATAGTTACAACAGCTTTTTTTAATTATTTTTTTTCTCCCTAGAAAAAGAATAGATCAAATGGATTAGAGCCCATAATTAACAAGAATTTTTTTCCCATAATGAGTAACATTTGACTGGAACTGCTTATGTATACAACAAGAAAATAACTTTGATAAAAAATCAAAATAACTGAAAATGGTCACTTCTTTACAACCTTTGTCTAGTTTAAGAGTTCATTTCCTTATGTCTTAGTGAGTTAAGATGGTTTTATGGTTTTAGTAATCAAACTGGTGTTTTATCAGGTTGTTGTTTTCCACTTCCATGTTGCAGGTAGTCAGTGGATTGGTGTCCCAGGAGAGTTGAAGGGCTACGAGCGCCTCCACAGAGAGTACGGGAAGCTGCAATGGGCTCAGCTGTTTGAGCCAACCATCAAACTGGCCAGAGATGGGATTCCCATGCCAACATACTTGGCAGAATTCATGAGAAACAACTTTGTAAAGATGCATGTGGAAAGGTCATCCCTGTGGTAAAGTTCACACACAAAAACCGAGCTTACAAAGTTTCCTGACATGAAAATGTTCGGTCACTGAAAACGTAAAACGTTTTAAAAAATGTTTGGTGTTTGAGTAAAACACACTGACTTATTGTTGAGATTTTATAAAGGAAACAATGATCCTTTAAATCCGCAAATTAACTAGTTTTAATAATCTAAAAAAAAAAAGATGTTCTTTACCCGAGAGTTAAGCCTCATTGTCACACTGACCATGAAAATGATTGGTTTCTTCTACTTACACAACACAGGGGACTGTTGGGGATTCAAAAATATTTTTGCCTTTGCAAATCTCTGTCATAGTGTCCTCTGATAAGAACACTGTGTCTCATGCCAAAATATTCTTTTATAGAAGATTGACTTGGGTTTAGAGCAGTTACAGTACTCAATGTAGTTCTGAATCTGCACATCTTGTGTATTACACTAAGAGGCAATGCATAGCATATAAATCCAATGATTACATGACGTTGCTCTAAGTTTGACAGGTCATGTTCTGTTTAGGATATGATGATTAAGGTTGGTCATTGATCCATCTATCTATCTTCTTAAAGGTGCAGTAGGAGATCTTTTCTGATGCATTTTTTACCATGTGGCTTTAGATGTCCCCACAGTCGCGTAGCAAGCATTGAAATAGAAGGTCTGAAAGTGAAACTAAAATAAATGGTTCCCGCTACAGTGTGAAATTAATGAGTAACGTCCACCAATCAAAAAACACAGTCCGTTGTACACTATTGGTCCTTGACACCTCAATCTGCTTGTCTCTCCCCCCTGTGCACGTTTCCTGACAGATGAACGAATCGACCCCCCAATGCTCGTGCTGGAAGCTAGCCACTGTTATGCTATGTTCACACCTAAAGCAGCAAGAGCAGCAAAAACGCGCTTCATTTTTGATGCTTGTACAAATTTAGTTCTGACGCATGACTGAAGCATCTCTGCTGCTGTAGATGCGAGGTGGAAAAAGTGGGTCTGATGCACATTGGGCTGAGCTACCCTATCCTTTCTTTGCAGGGCTGCCAATTTTTCACCAAACCTTAGAGCGAGACTTTAAAAGAATTTGGACATGCAAACCTTGTCAGGGTTAGATGAGTATAAGTACAGCTAATTAGTCCTAAAATCCAACAGGAGATTATTAAACTAAACTGAGCAATAATTATTTAACTTGAGCAAAACATGGACTAAAACTGGGATTAAATTGAGGTGGCTAATAGAGGTAGGTATAGAGATAACAAACCTTTTGATTTGATCCTACACTTCAGTCTCCACAGTGATAATCTAAGCTAAATGCTGTGTATTTTATTCATATTTACTTAAGTGCTAGACTGCTTAAAATCTTTATTAATTAACAAAGTGAATTAACCTAGTCCAGATACAATACGATTTAATGACATACCTCTGACTTTGCATGTAAACTAGCTCCTTTTGCTGCCTTTGCTGCTTTAGGTGTGAACGTAGCATGTGAACCTTGACAGACAGCATGCGTTTTCATGTGTTTTGGAGGCGTGGTTTCGAGGGGTGGTCTGAAGGGAGAAGCATGGTTAGGTATGTTCAAAATTATAGCCTGTTGGAACCTTTTTTTTCCCAAGATCTCCTATGGCACCTTTAAGATGCAAAGCATGAAAAAGCATTTCACACGTTCTATCTCATTTGCATTTTTCAGATAATTGGATAAAAATAAATCTAAAAGGTTCTAACATTACGTCAGTTCTTTTAACAATGAAAACCTCAATTTATATCTAAATACACAGACATAGAGCTTGCAATACAAATTTAAAAGGCTTATATCCTCATGCGTTTATAAACATGTTGTATTAGAATGTTTGAAGATATAATAAATTATTTTCTATAATTATTTTTTTGTTCCACACTCAAAAATCCATATTAATAATCTGATTAGATAAGATAAATAGATTTTTTTAAAATAGAAAAGCTTCATCTGATATAAAACTGTTTTAAAATAAAATCTTTAAGGGTCCTAATCTTTTTTTAGAACATTACACACTGACCTTTAAGCCATTTTTGAGTCTATCCTCCATACATTTTGGGAAATAGCAAAATCTATAAAGTGAAGACTTCAGAGTGGTGACCTCATTACATGGCTAAATAATCTCAGTTTATTGCAAGGGGCAGCTACCACTGTAAACTCGCTGTAGAACACACTGGCCTAGTTCAAAAGTTCAGTTGAACATCTTGTGATACTTTTTTGACTGCGACCCATGACTTACAGGTCTTTTTGTTGACACCCCTCTCATTTAACCACAACAAACCAGAACTAATCCCTCCCTGCTTCAGACAAAGCCATTAACAGTCTTTCAAATTCCTATTTTACCTTGTCATAACTCATGATGATAAGTCAGCAACATATGAGCAGCTTACCACAATACTTGAACTTTTCCATTTCAGGCAGAGTCCCTCATTACCAGTTAAGAAACTTGACCTAAAACAGTAACAGGATGGCTCTCAAACCAAATACTCCCAGTTTGGAAGCTCTGAAATAACAATGGCCCTATCGGATAAGCAGCTCATCATGATGCTGTCACCGACATGGAATTTGGACACCATGAAAAGATATGTTACAGGGCCCATCATAACCTGCCATGAGGTTGAAGGAAATTTTACTAAAGTGGTTTACAAAAAAAAAAAAAAAAAAATGATGCATTTATTTAAATACTGTTTTTGGTTACCTTTCTCAAATTTGTGAAAAAAACAAAACATGAAAGTTATTTTGTAGAGGAAGTATTGTCTGTAAAAAGTTGTCTGCTCTGCTGCTTTTGGAATAGAGGTGGAGCAGGTGGACTAAACCATTTTGTGTAAACAGATAGGGGGGATGAGTATTGAGAACATTTTCCAAAACAATTAAACTTACTTTTACCAATATAATGTAAATAAAATATTTGGGATTGCAGGTTTCAAGTGTCATGTTATTTTTGTCAGTATCATACAGTAAATGCATTAGGAGCCTCTCATGGGCCCCTGTCAAACCTGGGTCCCTTTAAACCTTCTTCCTTTTCACTCCTGTTTAGTACCCCTTACTTTCACTAAAATACTTGACAGTTTGTACACAGAGATAACATATGCTTAAAAGCACCATTTTTACTACTCAAAAATATTCCTAGTTTTAGACCAAACTGATAAATATTTTGTTCAAATTAACGCAGAACAAAGGGAAAAATACTGCAATTACTAAAAATAAAAAAAGTTAAAGCAAATCAGCTCTAAAAAAATGGAGGTGTATCATTATATTTGGGGATGCTAAGAAATCAATTCAGGTGAGACTTTCTATTGCATGTGTTTGTGTTTATGTGTTTTGAAGATTTCATTATTTTTCTCTGTCCAATGGAGGAGATTTCAGCCTTTTGATGCACTACTCTTCGAAAATTGTATAGACTATGTTTTAAAGCCTTTCTAAAGCCATTCATCCATAATGAAGTATTTTACCAGTTCTGAGTCAGACAAAAAGCCTGAAACACAAATTTGGAAATGGCAAATATGAGACCTAAAGGTTTCCAAAAACCAGTTCTTTGATTTCCTACCTGAAAAACTGTCCATCAGTGCTACAAACAGGGAATCTAAAGCAAGAGCTGTTTCCAATCTTTGGTAGGAAGTCTCCATCTGGGCTGTACCACATCTCTAACCCTGTTTGTTGTGTCCAAGGATAGGTTTTCAATAAAGTTCATTTGCCTCTGATTTAAGCCTGTTTTGTGGTCGCTATAACCTGGATGACTGAGAATTTACACAGACATCTTTAATCGAAAAGGTTTCTTTAAAAAAGATTCTATTGAACATGACCTCTCATAAATCTGAACAAGACAAAACTTGATTAGAAAGAGGGCAAATTTGGATTTATTCTATGATTTTTAAAACATTAAGTCAGGCCAGTTGTTGTTACAGTACAGTGTTCTGTTCATCAACTCTTCCAATCTGTTTCCCTTTTGATTGTTTTTCTGTTTTTTTTATAGTGAAGTGCTCTGCCACGAAAACAAAACAGTCCTGGGCAGAGGGGACACCCTACGCTTTCCTAAACTTGCAGAAACCCTGGAAACAATTTCAAAGAAGGGTGCAGAAGCCTTTTACACTGGCAGGATAGGACTTGACCTAATCCAAGACATTAAAGAAGCAGGTTGGTGCAAGAATGGCCGGGGCAAGATGAGACTGTTTGTTAACAAATAAATTAAAGGTATTTAGTGTGACGATTTGGATGGAAGCTTGCAAACCTAAAGGGAGGTGTTTGTGTCTGTAGGTGGAACATTAACAATGAAAGACTTGGAATCTTACGAAGTTAAGGAGGGCAGTCCATGGACGGTTTCTCTGGGGACTCATCGGATGCACATCGCTCCCCCACCTGCTGGAGGAGCACTGCTAGCTTTCATTCTCAGAATTATGCAAGGTTTTAGATCATCTGTTGTTACTCAGGATTCTTTTCATGCACTATTTTGACAGCTGGAATTAAAAAGTTGTTCTTTCTTTGCAGGGTTCTCGCTGAGCTCAGACTCTCTTGATGTTAAAGCGAAGGTTCAGATGTACCATCATTACATAGAAGCAGCTAAATTTGCTAATGGACAAAAGAGGAACATTCGAGATCCTGCTTTCAGTAATAGCGAGGTTGTAAACTATAACTTTTTTCTACCATTGTTACAAAGAAATTAAATGTCTCTTTAAACATATAATTAGCATAACTGTGTGTGACATATAGGCATACACCTAAAAGTTAAAGACCACAGGTAAAGCAAAATAAAACAAGCTGAAATATCTTCACAACAACCCAATAATGTTGCATTAAAACAAAGTCTACTTCAGAGGTACTTTTTCATTCTAAAAATGCACACTGATCTAGATATAAAGTTGTTACTGGTTTTGCAATAAAGGGAATACAATTCTGACATGAATGCAGGAATTATCGAAGAGTCAGGTCAGCTGTAAACACAGCAGCATAGTTATTATTCTCCAATGAATATAGTCAGGGGTGGAATAGCAAAACAATATTTAAATGGTATTAAGTTCTCTGAATACAGGAAAGGGTGCAGCATTACTTGAATTAACCACAAAAAGATTTAGCTGACTGAGCAACGCAAATTGGTATGTTGTATCATTGTTGGCTATTATGGCTCTATGGGATTAGGTCACCATTCGATAATATATGATACATATAATTTATAATTTTTATTTATATTTTCATGGATGTGTGTTAATGGAAACAAGAAAATGGGTCTTACAGGGACACTGTATAAAGCATTTTTTTAAAAAGCTTATTGGATAGTACAGCTTTTAGTCTGGGCAGGTAAAAGCACAGCAAAGCTTTTACATTTTAACTGTTCAAGTAGACCTGACCTTTTGTCCCTGGCAACTTTATAGTCCCTGGCAACTTTATATATATATATCTTTGTATTACATCTATGTGGTTAGTGAATGGTCCATATTGGCTTACAATACTTTAATCTTCCCACAAAACTCAGCTGTAAGCTCTTATATACACCTTACATACAGTATTTCCAACTAAACAAAACAAGGAAGTAGTACAAAAAAAACATCAGTTTTGTGATGGCAAATGAAAGAAATAACTTTGTGGTAGCAAAATGGGTTTAATCCATCTTTGTCGGCACTTAAATATATAATATTAAATATTTTACAAATGAAAGTAAAATTTAGACACTTCTAACCCCTTTATTGACACCATTTTACAAGTTCAGAATGATACAAAAAAAAAAAAAGAAAATAATGTCATAATAGGGATTGTGATCAAGGTTCTAGAAAATAGCTTAATTTTAATTGTAGTGAATGCAACAATTTCTTGTTGGTAATTCTTCCAGCCACTGGAAGGTTACTTAAACTGTAGTTACGATATGTTGCTAAAAGAAAAATAATTTTAAAATCAGTGCAAAGACAGTTGTACTATAGACAGGTTTTTGACTAGGTTTATTTTTCTTGTTTTCCTTTATTTATCTTCTGTTTTCAGACTGCCAAAAACCTGATTGATTCAACCTTCATCGATCATATCAGAGGGATGATATCATCTAGTAGGACCCATAATAACTCCTATTACTTCAACGTCAAACCTCCAAAGGATAATTTTGGAACAACACACGTTTCTGTGCTGGATAAGGATGGACTCGCAGTCTCAGCCACCAGCACCATAAACCAGCTGTGAGCAGAAGACCTCCATAGAGATTTGTACATTTTCTGAAAGTAACCTTATTGCACCAATGGTATCCATGGCTTAACTCTACTGTATGGTTGTGTAGGTTTGGAGGAGCTGTTTACTCTCCCAAAACAGGAATCATCCTCAACAATGAGCTTGCCGACTTTTGTGGAAGAGTAAATACTATACATCCAGGTAAAACAAACACACCTTACTGTACCATGCAAGTCTGATTTAAAGACAAATGAACCTAAAACATCCATATGATGCAGGTGAACAGCCACCTTCTTCAATGACTCCTGTTATAATAGAGAAAGGCTCTGGTGGGATCCTTGTGATGGGAGGATCAGGAGGAAGCTTGATCACCTCATCAATGGCCTTGGTAGTTCCCTGCTTTTCAATGTTGTTGCTTAGTCTGTGTGTTTCTTTCTGCTTACATGAGTCAAATTTTCTCTTACAGTCTCTAATCAACCGCCTGTGGCTGGGGATGAGCTTAAAGGAGTCAATTGATGCTCCCATAATCTTCATTGACTCAGAGAATGTTGTGAATTTTGAACGAAGATTTAATGAGGTGACGTATGCTCTTCTCAACTATAAATTTATGACAATAAAGTCTATTAAGTTAATCATACCACCCCTATTAAGTATGTAAAAAAAATAGAATTAGATAAGAAAACAATCAAAAAAAACACTCTCTACTAAATCAAAAGTCCCGAAAATTATCTGATATGTTCTCCCACATTCAAACTCGTAGATCAATTTCCCTAATCTCTTTTTGACTATTTGAGCTGATGTAATGAGTAAATTTCTCCAGTGTGAGATCAGTAAAGTCAATCAATCAATCCATAATTGGAGGCTTTAGAGGCATCCTAGGTCCTTTTCTGTTACATCTTTACAAACAGCTTCCTAAACTCTGCTTAACTATACCTGGAAACTGGGTTTAAGTCAGATAATAAAAAGATTTTAACTTAGATAGATTTTGTACTGAAATAGTATGAAAAACACCCAATCCCTACCTTTAGGTATAGTGGCAATCTGTGATTCTGTGGGCTGGTTCCTCTTCCAGAGTTTTTCCCAACCTCTTTTGACTTTTTTACCCCTTTGGGCATTTTTTTCTTATCATAAGTACCCCTCTCAGTCAAAAGTATTGATGATTGTCCAAAAGTGGAACTTACAATAACTGATTATAAAATAAAAACACTTTAGCATTTCTAACTTGACCATCTAATTGCATTTTATTCTTTCCATCTCAAATAAAAAAATAACATAAATATGTTCCCTGGAAGTTAGTAAGAAATGAAAATAAATGCAAAATAAAATATTATAAATCTGTATTTATAAAACTGGACATTCTCTGAGTAACTTCCTTATACTCACATTTAAACTGAATAAAATGGAACCTAAACACAGAACAAAAATTATAGTCAGACTGACTTAATTAGATCTGTTTTCATCAAGACACCTGAGCTGCCTTAATAAGCTCCTATAGCTCAATGTGAAGAAGAGCTGATCCCAGGCTGTTCTCTACATCCATTCTGTTCTTCTGCTTGGTTTTTATGTGTGTCAAAGCTGAAGGTGAACTCAAACATATAAGAAAAACTTACTTTTTAGTTGATAAAACCTTGTTTAATTTTCAATTGGGTCCTTACAAAACAAAACAGACCCCAGCAGTATTTTATTTTAATACTTAACAAATAAAATATTTTGATGTACCCCTTGCAATGCACTGGCTGACCAGTAGGAGTACGAGTACCCCCAGTTTGGAAACACCGTTCTAGAGGATTAGCCCTTCTATTATTACCTCAGCACCTAGACATAAAGCCTATGGAATATCTGTGAAATGAGCTGAAGATAAGCGATCATGAAAGTATTGAAGTAGGAGAGATCTTGCATGCTTCAACTTTAGGAAAATATCAGGAGACTGCCGGTAAAGCACTGCCTTACTGGCATAAAGTCTGTTGTAAGAACTGCTTATAGGAAATAGGCATTGGTGATTTTTTACAAAAGTGCTATTTAAGTCAGTGTTTTTAAACCCTTGTCCTCAAAACACCCTGCCCTGCATGTCATGGAGACTTCCCAGCTTCCACTCACCTGATATCAATTGATAGCATATCTAAAGGCTTTGCTGAACTCCAGTCATCTTAAGGTGTGTTAAAGCAGAGAGTGTGCCTTGAGGACCAGGGTTGAAAAACCCTGATTTAAGATATTTAATCACCTCTTAATATATTTTTTTAACTTTAACATAATATCCTTGGTAAATATCACTGGAATAAAAGCATCTTTACAAATATGGGTAGACAAATCTATGTGATAAGACATTAAAAGAATGTAATTTAGAACTATCAATTTTACTGTTTTTAATCTGAGGCTTTTCTTATTGTATTTCATTTAAGGGTTTTTATTCTGATGATATTTCCTTTTTGTGTTGTCTTAGTCTGTGAAAGAGGGCCTCAAAGCTCTTGGACACCGAGTTGGGTCTTGGCCATACTTTTTAAACGTGGTCAATGCCTTGGAAAAGGAGGACGGTTGTATAGAGGCCGTGTCGGACCAAAGGAAGATGGGAAAATCAGCAGGATACTGATCATGATGATATTGAGTAACTTTACATGAACATCTTTTCTTAGACTTATTAAACCTTTATGCTAGGGGCCCGTGATAATGATGCAGCTCAAAAACAAAATGTGAATGAGTTAGTTTTATTTTTGTTTAACTTTCTTTTTGTATGTATATTTTAAAAAGTAATTGAATGTAGGCAAACATCCATGTATTGTAATACTATAGTATATAATAGTAAACGTAAAGGCAGTGGAGCTGATTCTTTACCTAACTGCAAATTTTATTTTTTTCCAAATGAAGTCAGAGGAAGATAATAATAATGTAACTTCACTCTCATTTATCCAACACCTTCATCTTTGTGTTTATTTGTTTTGACATAGATGTATGCTCATATAGCAACAACACTGTGAACACGTTTTTTACTTAATTTCTATCTGTAAGCTTGCGAAATGACAAACTTCTTTGTGAATTATTCAAAGCATTTTTGACCAATGGTTGTCCAGCCTTTTTGGATATATTTTGAAGGTTTGGGTCACATGCAGACTCCTTCTTTCACCCATTTTCCTGCCTATTGAAGTTCAGGTCTACACCCTTACTGTATTGTATTTAGAGCTGTTAAGCAATGTCTGAAAGTCATTTCTTTCAGGAAAAAATGGAAAATACCAAGCGAAGCATTGACACAGAACCTGATGTATTGCGGTTTAGTTGATTAACTCAATCTAAAGACCTATACATATGAAAGAACAGAGAAGGATTTTATTTACCACAAAGCTGCAAGAGTAAAAGTTCCTTCAGGAAGGACATTTCATACTTCAGTCTTTACTCTGCAAAATGAGCTAAAATAAGTAAAAAATGTGTATTTACCCTTAATTTGAGTAAGTTCCATTGGCAGTGTCTCAATTCAAGAAAAAAATGCATTTACTTTAAGAATTGTTTTTCATTGTATAGGTCTCTTACCATGCAGCTTTTTTTTTTTTTTTTTTTTTTTTTTAAACTTAAGACTTCTTTTACATTGGTGACCTAGCATACCACTATCATCTTTCATGGGGACCACTATAAAAAAGTTGCTCGCAGAATAAACTTTTAAAAATGAGCTAAAAGAACATACTGAGGTTTTGCTCATGGATTCTGACATATTTCTGTTTTTAAGGAGTAGCCTTAATGGTATTTTCATGGATGTAACTAAAGAAAGGACTGTGTTTTTGTTACCGATAGCTAGAAACAATGTTCATGAGGAAACCCTTTTAGTTTTGCAAAATGTAGCAGCATTTTTTTTTTAAGAAGAGCCAAAAACTGGTCTGTAAATGAACGAAAAAGCAGCTAAAGTTAAAAAAAAAAAAAAAACTCAGAAAGTTCTCTACACAGCCCAAATAAAGACCACTCTAAAATACTACAAGGACTTTCAGCTCTGGTAAAGGAAATTTCACAGGAGCCATGAAGGATGGTTCCAGATTTTAGCACAATAATGCATTGGTATTTAGACAGCAAAACAGAGATAATGTTTTATGAACTGTTATTTGTGTTCACACCATGGTGATTGTTTTTTAAGACTGACTTTGCAAACAGTCAGCTTTTATCATGTTGCACTGTTGACATGCTGGATGTCGGACTCTTAGGCATAGCAATGTACTGAATGTTCTAATTTCTGACTGAACTTTTTTGATTTTATTTGTTATTCATAGGGCATAACCACTATATATGAGCCATTTAAAAAGGAAATCCTGATGCAGAAAAAAACATTTACTGTGGCCTTTTTTATTATAATGACTGTAAGACTGCCTTAAAATTCCAATTAATGTTTTTAACTCAGTGTGTTGTAAAAAAAAAAATGTTTTAACAAACTCATTTTTTTTACCTTGTGTTGTTTGTTTAATTAATTTTATCTACTTGTGTTCCTGACTGTTCACTGTTTATTCTCTAGTTTTTACAATAAAAACTTTCCTTTGAAATAGAATATTGCCTGACACTGATTCAAAACATGAATGTTCATCAGTTTTACACCCATAGAACAGATTTAAAAGGCAATTTCATTAAGATTTCATAAATTCATGACATGGAGAAACCTTCCACTTTGAGATATTTCACATAGATAGTATTGTCTCTCCTGCCGGACCTTCATGTGAGCACATCTGAGGTATCACAAATGTGGTTCTCTACTCATAGGTGACAGTAATTCAATAGATGTCAAGAATATTTTGTAACATTAGGAAAATATCTCTTGAGTATATTTAAAACTGAAAAATGAACTGCGGTGGGAAAAAAAAGGGGTTTTCCATGAAAAGTTTGTCATAATGGGCTTGAAAGATCTGACCCACATGCAGAGAACCACTCAGAGACCAAGGGTAAAGGTTTAACAGGTTTATTGTAGGTAGCAAACACTGATGGAGATTGAAACTCAGTGGGGAAACAATGCTGGAACTCAGCGAACTGGTGAACCGGAACCGGAAACTCTGAAGGGGAGATCACAGTGATCAGTTCAGGGACAGTGGGAAAATAGACTGAGGCTTGAATATTGCTGGAGAGGCACTCACGTTTGCGGGGCTCTTGGTTTATCCTTGGATCCAGTTTGTGGGGGTTTAATCCAGAGAAGAGGAACTCGTTGGAGAGCGGACAGGCAGACATATGTTGGACCCAGAGGAGTAAAGGAGCGGACTGTCACTTGGTTTTCCAGGAGTGGACTTGAACAGATTATGTGGAGGTTTTCCCCCTGCTCAATGAGACTCAGTAAATCCTTCCAGGGGTAGAAGGTCCAGGCTTATCCAGTAACACAGGAAGTCTTCCCAATACTGGCAAACACTCTGGCGTTGAGGTGGTGACAGCCCACTGCTCAAGTACTCCTCTGGTAATGACCCAACGAGCTGCAGGTGTGCAGGGAGGTCCAACGAGGACAGGGCACCACCTGGTGGTGAAGAGAGGAAAACACAAAAAACAACCCACACAATCTTGAATCCTAACAGAGCTTTAAATTTTGCAATACATTTTGTATGTACTTTAAAAGGCAATTAATATACATTTCAGGTTTTTAACATCTGATTATATCTCTGACATTAGATTTGTGTCTTTATTATTAAATAAAAAAAGGTTGCTTATTTTTCAATCAAAGAAAAGCTGGGTTTTTGAGTCTCAACTATAATTTTGCATTCAAATACTTTTTTTTCTTTGATTGAAACTTTTTTTTTCATTGAATTGAAGTTGTTTTTAATTAAAAATATATCTTTTCAATTGAAGCAATCTGTCTTTTGATTGAATTCCAAAGACACCATCTACCTTCATACAATGGCATGTAACAAATAGCGGAGTAAACCTCGATCTCTAGCAGTGCCATTTAAAAAAACTTTTGAAATAATAGTTACCTAAAAGGAATGCATGCTATTTGCAAATTCCACAGTCTCTGAAGAAGTGTCAAAATGAATTTAGTCATGCCTCTGCTGTTCTATGAAAACGTCTTAAACAATCTAACTACCTTTAAAGCAGAGTTCTACTGTAGCACTCCAGTCGTCATGGTCTGTGTACTGCAGCTTGAAATTAAATTACTAAATATGCATTTCAGGAGATTCATATTACACAACTTATTCATCTAAAGGTTGCAGGATGCTGACCTCTGAGGACAGACATTCAAAACTGCTGCTTTAAAAAACAGCTAAGGAAGTAATTTAATTAGCTGTAGCAGCTGGCTGTGCTGCCATGCTAAAAGTAATTTACAGTATCACCAAACAGAATATGAACAAATTTTATTTAATTGCAAGATTTCTCTTTCATACTTCTTTGCTACTACCAACACCTGTTGTTATACATTTTTTATTTCCAAAATTAGTCTGTCACACTTAGACAGCATACAGTATTTAGAGTAAAATTTATTTTAATAGATTTTTACACATTTTTTATTTATTTTAGGCACCTATTCGCTTCATATTTGGCTACAAATAAAAATGATGGGAAAAAATAGATGGCCTGTTTTTCTTCATTTAGGTAAATCATGATTTTAAAAACCTGAAATGACGGAGCATGTTGTGTCAAGCTTTTAACCCTGTCTATTTCATAGAGGGTGAACTGTGGCCAAAAAACTTGTTTTCATATATAATTTTTTTCTTAATAACTTCCGCGTCAGCTGTGAAAGTCAGTTTCCTTTTTTAAAGAAGCTCACTGAGAATTTAACAAATTTCCCTTTAAAAAGCCCAATGGGTTCTAAATGTTTAAGAGACTTTGGGGGAAAACATGGGAATTATCAGCAATAACACCTCAATTTTTCCAATGTGGCTTGTATGATTGTAGAAAAGAGAATAAAAAAAAAAAAGTCATAGCAAGATACATCTCAGTAGAGGAACTTATGAATTAGTAATGATTTTTTAAGTGGATTCTGCTCAGCTCCCCTTCAAGGCGCTCAGTGTGAGTTATGAGATCATGCAAATTTTACTCTTTGTGAAGTATCACTGTCTTTGTTGAATGACAAATGAGTTAATCTTGATAAGCTTTGGCTTTTATAGCTCTGGTGTCATAATATCAAAGTTTTTCTCTGAACCGTAAAGATGAACTATAGCTTAAAATCTGCAGTCATCTCCCTGTCAATTTTCACTTAAATCACAGGAAGCTAAAAGATCCTCTGATGACTCTGCACACTTTTTCCCCCCAAGGCCTTTTCAGTGGGGCTAATTATTTCAACTATAACATTCTTTTTTATTTTTTTATTTTACATAATAATTTGCACATTTTTCTATTTTAATATGCTTAGATTAAGTCCAAAGGAATGACTCAAGTGAAACTCACACAGGCAGATTGCAAATTTCTTTCATGCTTCAGGGTTAATAATTTGGCTGTTTATAGGTGAACTCCTAACTACGGTGTGTTGATGTAGGACTGTGCTTAATTGGGCCTTCAAGGAATATTCTAGGGTGTTATGACAAGGTCACTGCTGAATTTTATGTAAAAGAAAGAATCTAGGACAATGTAGTTTGAGGATATAGTTGCATCCAGTATAGTTTTTGTGTTTTGCTTTAATCTCTTATACATGTAACTTGATTAACTTCTGAAGGAGAAAAGAAAGTCATATTTGAACACCCTGATATTTTTGCAAGTTCTCCCACTTAGAAATCATGGAGGGGTCTAAAATTGTCATGTAGATTTATGTCCACTGTGAGAAACATAATCTAAAAAAGGAAATCCAGAAATCTATATGCCAAACTATTTATTTGTATGACACAGCTGCATATAAGTATTTGAACATCTGTGAAAATCCATGTTAATATTTGGTATAGTAGCCTTTGTTTACAATTACAGAGGTCAAAGGTTTCCTGGAGTTTTTCACTAGGTTGGCACACACTGCAGGAGGGATTTTGGTCCACTCTTCCACACAGATCTTCTCTAGATCACTCAGGTTTCTGTGCTGTCACTGAGAAACACGTAATTTGAGCTTCCTCCAAAGATTCTCTACTGGGTTTAGGTCTGGAGACTGGCTAGGCCACACCATAACCTTGATATGCTTCTTTCAGAGCCACTCCTTGGTTATTCTGGTTGTGTGCTTTGGGTCATTGTCATGTTGGAAAACACAGTCTCCACCCACCTTCAATGCTCTAACTGAGGGAAGGAGGTTGTTCCCCAAAATCTCGCAATAGATGGCCCCGGTCATCCTCTCATTAAGACAGTGCAGTCACCCTGTGCCATGTGCAGAAAAACGCCCCAAAGCATGAAGCTACCAAAAACAAGATGGTGTTCTTGGGATGACACTCGTCATTCTTCCTCTTCCAAAAACGGATAGTGGAATTATGACCAAAAAGTTCTATTTTGGTCTCATCTGACCATGTGACTTTCTCCCATGTCTCCTCTGGATCCTCCAAATCGTCATTAGCAAAAGATTATAGATAAATATAATTAGGGGTCCCAGCTCCATCTCGCCATCAGTTTGGGGGTCCTTGGCCTGGAAAGACTGTTGAAGACCCTTGTCTTAGTGCATTAAGTCCCTGTCAGACCTTGACGATTTAGACAGCATATGCCTGACGTCCGAGAATCTCCTAAACACGCTGGCATACGCTGAACTTGCAATGTATTTTTTCAGTTTTTGGTGTATACATAGACGATTCATAACGAGTCCAGAATGTATGTCCAATGACAGCCTAACTAACGTATGCATAACACCCAGCAGCGTAATGCCCATGAAATGTAACAAGTCAGTGTGCTGAGGGGGGCAGTAATGCCCCCAGAGGATCCCAGACTGCATTGCTTTGATCATGGTATTTGCCTACCTGCTTTTTACCGCCTGCCAAATAAATAAATAAAAAGGAAAGGAAAGAAAGAAGGCTTGTAGTCGCAACAGATTCAGCGCCATGTCTCCTAGGAAAATTGTTGGCTGTGGGTGTGGGTGTGAACGCAGGAAGGACATCACACTCACATTCATGCTCACTCTATCATGGGGATGAAGTCTGGAGGAGAACTGACGGTTTTCCTGTGAACCCCCTTTTATAACAAAATGCTGCTAATACACCATTAGGCAAAAGCTGTAAGGTAGAAACATGTTCAGTCATCGCCTGGAACAAGTCAGATACGTTGATATACGTTTGAGATAAGTTCTTGATAAGTTGTGTATAAGTTATGCACAAGTTACTCATAGTTTTTGGATAAGCTAACCACGACAACTTATGACTTAACGTATGTCAATGATCACACAGCTTAACTGTAACACGTATGAGCCAATGCTGCCTTACTTGCCGTAAGTCGATGTGTGCCAGCGTGTTTCAGCGTGCTCATCACCTACATAAAACTGACTCATAACTTATCCAACATATGCCAGTGTTTTTGCAAGATTTTTTGTACAGTCATGGCCAAAAGTATTGAGAATGAAACAAATATTATATTTTCACATGATCTGCTGCCCTCTGGTTTTCATGTGTGTATGTCAGATGTTTTCATTGCATACAGAAATACAATTGCAATCATATTATGAGTAACAAAAGCTTT